TCATCATAGGGCCAAGATAAAGACATGGTCAAACACAACAACACACACAATCAGCAAAGCAGCAAAGCTGAGTACATAAGCGTAATTAAACACACTAACATGCTTTAACCTATCAACACACACTTACCTCAATGCACCTATTTACAAGCACACACAAAAATCAACAAGACACTTTAACTAGACACTAAATAATTCATTTAGCGTTGATTACGCATCGAACGGGTTTCCAACTATAACTCCCCAAAATAAATTGAGGTTAACTGACACGGGAGCTAACCGAGCCAGCAACAAAACCACTCAAAGGTGGCGGAATTCCTGCGCATAATAATAAATAAAAAGAAATGTATAGCGTCCTGTACTCTATTAGAAGTTATGGTTAAATATAAAACCCCATAACTTCCCCCATTGTTCATACTCAAGGTGTATACGTTCCAAGAGTTTTGGTGCGTAATCTCTTTCACTTTACGTGATTTACATGTTATTGGACTTGGTGATGACTCTCAAGCATAATAAATCAATCAACAATAAATATTCAATCAACCAAACATATCAATTTAATTCTTGAATAATTAGTGATTACATATTATTTAATGGTGAACCCTTTTTAATTCTACCTCAGTGTCAAAGACACATAAACGCATAAAGCGCCAAAAATCCTATCCCTCGGTGTTAAAAACACCTTAAGTGCACAAAGGCACCAACATACAATTTATGCCTTGTGTACATAGACACTTATATAGCTCCTTCCTCATGCTTAAAGCATCCATAAAAATTATTTGAACCATAATAAAATTCCTTTTCAATATTCCAAACATAAATAAAAGTGTGGTTTAAACACAACATGCCCAAAATATAATTTTCTAATCCATAAATCATCACAAATAATTCATGCTTCACAATTCAATCACCAACACCATTAATTCTCAATTTCATACATAAACCTTAGCATGATACTACTTGTAATTAATTGAAATCAAGCCTAGCATGATTCTACATCATCAAAATATGCTAAGTACGCGTACGTACCTTGAGTACGATTTTAAAATTGCCACGACTAGTAGAAATTGCTTACTTCAAAGTCTCCTACACATTAAAATCATAATAGAGTATTAAATTCCACTCTAAACAAATTTCCAGCAATATATACTATTTTAAAATCCCTCATAATTTAATTAAAGTAAGTTGAGATTATATTTAAAATACCATAATTAAGTCCCAATTAATGGGTAATTAAAATTCCTTCAAGAAACATAATATTAAGTGTTCTACATTAAATTCCAGCACTTTATTTTAATTAAAACTTGATGTAATTAAGCCTTAAAACACTTAAAACAAAGATCTACCCCAATATACATCAAAATCCTTCAATAACTCATAAATCAAGAACCTAGGGTTTCAAAAATTGGGGCTTTTTAATTAAAAACCAAATCTGAAAATTAATCAACATAATTATAATAATCAAACACCAAAATTAAATCCCAAAACTCATAATTTAAAATTAGATTAAAGCATAGATTAAATTTGAGCAAGAAAGATTTGATTTTTAAGTTTTTTTTTTTCGAAACCCACGACTGCCGACAGCAGGTCGGCGCCACTGCCGGCTACTGCCAGCACTGGTGGTCCCCGCTGCTGCCGGCTGGGTGGCTGGTGGTGGTGGTTGTAGGTGGTTGTGGTGCGAAAACAAAATGGGAAGGGGAAGGAAAAAGAAAAGAAAAAGAAAGAAGAAAACATAAGGAGAAAAGGGAGAGAAATTTACCTTGGGTTTTCTCTACTCTGGGCAAAGTTGATTTTCCTCATAAGAGGGATATTTATACCCCTTCTCTATCACCCTTTTACCCTAAACTTTCCTCCTTTAGTTTTTCCTAATCCCTTCCCTACTAAAACTTGTTAAAATCATAATTTTCTAAAATAAAACCCCAACTTTTATAAAATAAATAATTAAACAAATTTCCTTTAGTAAAAATATTTCCAAACTTATATAGGATAAATAATTAAAACACCATAATTAAAATATTAAAATTATTTAAATACCTTTATAAAATACATATTTTAAATAAAATACGTATAAAAATATGGGGTATTACAGTCTACCTCCCTTAAATAAAGTTTCGTCCCGAAACTTAGGAAATGAAATTCAAAACTTTTCCTCTTTATGTATAGTATTGATGTACTTTTTGTCATTCCTTTACTCCTTTGTGTCTCTTTGAGAGCACTAATACTCAAAATACTTAGTAGAATTTGTGCAAAAAGCACCAAAAATATGTAAAATATAGGGAAAAAGCGCGAAATTCTATCGCATTCTACCCCCCTTAAAGAAAACGAGTTACGCCCCCGTAACTCAACATACCTGAAACAACTCCGGGTATTTCTTTTTCATTTAATCTTCTGCCTTCCAAGTGGCTTCCTCATATTCTTGGTTAGACCAAAGTACTTTCACAATGTTAACGTTCTTATTGCGTGTCCTACGCACTTTACAGTCAAGAATCTTGACAGGTCTCTCCTCATAAGTTAAGCTTTGATCTAACTCAATGGTTTCGGGTTGTAGCACATGGGATTTATCAGGAATGTACCTTCTCAATTGGGACACATGAAATACATCATGTACTTTACTAAGCTCCATAGGTAAGGCTAACCTATAATCTACTTTGCCTATTCTTTGCAGTATTTCATATGGACCAATGTATTTTGGACTGAGCTTTCCTTTCTTTCCAAATCTCATCACTCCTTTCATTGGTGACACCTTTAACAGCACTTTATCACCAATTTCGAACTCTTCTTCCCTTCGCTTTAAGTCTGCATAGCTTTTCTGGCAATCTTGAGCTGCTTGAATTTTAGCTTGAATTTCCCTTACTTGCTTAACTGTATCTTCAATAATTTGAGGCCCTAGGATCATAGTTTCACTAATTTCATTCCAACAAATCGGACTATGACATTTCCTCCCACACAAAGCCTCAAATGGTGCCATTCCTATGCTCGCATGGTAACTAATATTGTAGGAAAATTCAATTAAATCCAAGCTATCTTCCCATCCTCCCTGGAAGTCTATTACACAAGCTCTCAACATTTCCTCCAAGGTTTGAATGGTTCTCTCAGTTTTCCCATCTGTGGCAGGGTGAAATGTCGTACTCATCTTAAGTGTTGTACCAAAATTTTCTTGTACACTTTTCCATAATTTTGAGAGAAACCTAGATTCTCTGTCAGATACAATATCCTTTGGAACCCCATGTAACCTCACAACATATTTGATGTAAGCTTTGGCAAGTTTCTCCATCTTCCAAGTTTCTTTCATTGGTATAAACACTGCTGATTTTGTAAGTCTATCCACCACTACCCAAATGGTATCATTTTCACTCTGTGACTTAGGAAGGCAAGTCACAAAATCCATTGAAATGCAATCACACTTCCATCCTGGAATTTCTAATGACTGCACCGTTCCTTGAGGCCTCTTGTGCTCTATCTTCACCTTTTGACATGTTAAACACTTTGCCATAAAATGAGCAACCTCATTTTTCATTCTAGGCCACCAAAACATCTTCTTCAAATCCTTATATAGCTTGTCTCCTCCCAGGTGTACTGAGTAAGGTGTATAGTGGCCTTCTTCCATCAATTTTCTCTTCACTTCCTCACATTTCTGTGGTACGCACCATCGATCTTTGTACCTCAAACTCCCATCTTCGTGAATCTTGAAGTCTGTGGTTTTTCCCTGCTTAATTTTATCACGAATCCTATCCAACTTTACATCTCCCTCTTGGTTGGCTTGAATCTCGTCGAATATTGTTGGTTGGATGCTTAGACTCGCAAGAATTCCCAATAGTACTCCCTATTCTACAACTTCTTAATTCAATTTCATCATTTCCCTACATAACTCATTAGCTACTACTAACGAGTTTAATCCATGACTAGTTTTACGACTTAAAGCATCCGCAACCACATTCGCTTTCCCTTCATGGTATTGTATGTCTAAATCATAATCCATCGTATACTCTAACCATCTCCTTTGACGAGAGTTCAAGTCCTTTTGGGTGAAAATGTACTTTAAGCTTTTATGGTCTGTGTAAATTCTACATTTCACTCCATACAAATAATGGAGCCAAATTTTTAGTGCAAAACTGATTGCAGCTAATTCCAAATCATGGGTTAGATAGTTTACTTCGTGGGTCTTTATTAACTGCCTCGATGCATATGCAACCACCTTCCCATTTTTCATAAGCACGCACCCTAAACCATTCTTTGATGCATCGCTATACACATCATACAGTCCACTATCATCTGGAAGTGTAAGCACCGGTGCTGTAATTAGTTTGTGTTTCAAGAGTTAGAACGCCTCTTCACACTTATCGTCCCACTCAAACTTCTTGTCCTTCTTCATCAAGGTGGTCATAGGTTTAGCAACCTTGGAAAAATCCTTGACAAAACGCCTATAATACCCTGCTAAACCTAAGAAACTTCGCACATCAGATACTGTCTTGGGTGTAGGCCAACTCTTAACAGCTTCTATTTTGGCTGGGTCTACCTCTACTCCGTCCTTGGACACGAAAAGGCTACCTTTTCCAACCAATACTCACACTTAGAGAATTTTGCATAAAGGTGGTTTTCTCTTAGTGTTTGCAGAATTGCCCTTAGGTGTTCTGCGTGCTCTTCCTTGCTCTTTGAGTACACCAATATATCGTCTATGAACACTACTACAAACTTATCCATAAATTGATGAAACACCCTATTTATCAAATCCATAAAGATTTCTGGAGCATTTGTCAATCCAAAAGGCATAACTGTAAACTCGTAGTGTCCATATCTTGTCCTAAATGCGGTTTTAGGAATGTCCTCGTCGGCAATCCTCAATTGGTGATACCCAGATCTCAAGTCAATCTTTGAAAACACTGTGGCACCCTTTAGTTAGTCAAACAAATCATCAATTCTTGATAAGGGATACTTATTCTTTATGGTTACTTTATTTAGTCCCCTGTAGTCAATACACAACCTCATACTTCCATCCTTCTTTTTCACAAATAGAACTGGCGCTCCCAAGGAGAAGCACTTGGTCTAATGTATCCCTTTTCCAATAAATCTTGCAATTGCTCCTTTAACTCACTCATTTCTGCAAGTGTCATTCGATATGTTGCCTTGGATATTAGGGTTGTTCCGGGAACTAAATCTATGGTAAAGTCGATTGCCCTCTTAGGTGGTATTCCACGAATCTCCTCTGGAAATACATCCAGGAATTCATTGACTACTTCTATATTTTCTGGATTTGTCACTTGTTCATGGTCCATATTCCTAACACTACATAAATATACTGGATGTCCCTTCTTCATGTATTTTGCTAATTTTAGCACTGATATTAACCTTGGGCACTTGGTTTTACCATTCATCCAGTAAGTTACTAATTCATTTCCACTTGTGACCATCTTCGCTTTCTGTGATCTACAACTAATCTCAACATTATACTTACTGAACCAGTCCACTCCCAGAATAAGATCAAAGTCACTCAGCCCAAACTCAATAAGGTCATATGGGAATGTCCTTCCTTCTATTTCTAAAGGCACATTTCTAAAGGTTTTGGTACATTTCACTACCCCACCTGTCGAAATGGTTATGGGTAAATCTACTACTTCTACTGTCTTTAAACAGTCTTTAAGTTTTGAAACAATACCCTTACAAACAAAAGAAAAAGTTGCACCAGAATCAAACAATACTTTAACAGGAATAGAGTTAATAGAAAAAGTACCAGTAATAGCATCTTTCGTGGCATCCGCCTCATGCCTACTCAAAACATTCAGTTTCCCTGCAGTTCCACCCTTCTGTTGGCTATTCCCACTGGTGGTGTTACTGTTCTTCACTCCATTCTGTTGCACTCCCTTATTCCCAGTAAAGTTGTTGATGTTCCCCTGGAAATTCCTCTGGTTTCCTCCTGAATTATTGTTGTTTTGCCTGTTCCCATTGCTATTCTTGGAGAAACACTCATACTCCCTATGCCCAAGTTTATTAAAAACACAAAAAGCGATCAAATTTCCCTCTAATCCTTCCCAGGGTGGTTATTTCTACACCTCTTGCAAAAATAAATCATCCCATTCTTGTTATTCCCCTGGTTATTGTTTCTAGCCCCTCCATTATTGTTACGGTTTCCCTAACGGTTATTACCCGGGAAGTTATTATTGTTGTGAAAGTTATTGTTATGGTGGTACTTCTGCTTCTTAAAACCATTCAGGTTTCCCTGCTGGTTACCAGAAACCTGCCCTACTTCCTTCCTCTTCTCTCTTCCTTCTATTTCAGCTAACTCCTTCTTCTTCTTCTCCTCCAATGCATAAAGGTGTGCGGCCCTTCCATATACTTCATCCAGGGTCTCAAATACTTGTCCGCACAGCTTTAACTGCAAATTAGTAGTTAAACCACTCTCAAACTTCCTAGCTTTTGCTTTCTCCGTAGCGACAAACTCTTCAACAAAACGGGACAACTCAATAAACTTGGTGTAGTATTCCGTAACTGACATCCTTTCCATCTTAAGGTTTGAGAATTCCTCAGCTTTCTGCTTCTGCAAAAAGCTAAGATAAAACTTGTCTCTCACTTTCTCTTGGAACTTAGCCCAATTGAACCCAGGTAGCGCTCTAATGGTAGTCTCATTTTGTTGCCACCAAAGGTCAGCTTCACCCCTCGGATAGTAAGTAGCACAACTCACTTTTGAGTTTTCAGGGCATCCCACAGCTTCAAATAGTTTCTCAAATTCCCTCAACCAGTTTTCCAATATGATAGGATCAGGCTCCCCTTGATATGTTGGTGGCTTACTTTGTGCCACCTTCTTAAAGAGCTCCCCCTGAGCATCCCCATTACCAGTTGAGTTTCTTGCGAATTGTTGGGCAACTGCTGCCAATTGCCTCACTAATTTATTCAAATCATTTCCACCATTACTAGAACTTCTTCCCTCTGCCATTTTACTTCTCCTGAATTAAGGACAAGGGTCTATATTAGAAATGGCTATGGTTAATTCTCAAGACATACACCCATATATTACCTAGCACTCTTTAAACATTCACAGTGAAATTTGAAGCTAACAAATTGGGATAGCGAAAGCTAAGAATTCCCTAAATTTGTAACTTTGTTAATGAATTATTGATTGCTAACCAACCATACATTTAATAAAGCATCACATGGATAAAAAACAAAATCCCATAGATGCCCATAGCTTAGAAATATTTATTGGAATTAATTTGCTTGGAATTTTGGCTATTTGAATAGGATGTGAAATGGGAGATTTGGAAAATAAATGAATTTATTTATTAATAATATATAAAAATTTTGACAAGGAAATAAATGAGGTCTTATTAATTAAAATAGACTGAAATTACTAAAATAAAAATTGTTTTCTAGAAACTTATGTGGTCATGCCACTTATTAATTTAAAACTAAAATATTAATAACTAAAATAAAGACTGTGAATTCATGACGAGGAAAGTTATAAAATCGAATCCTTTCGAATGTTGTCCCTTTTGTCAGTGGATTGTTTGTAGCTTGAAAGATCGAAATCAGAATCGTTTGACTCCTTCATTGGTTCAGGTGACTCAGGTTCGGGTTCCACTTGTACAAACTCCCCTTCTTCCTCCTCATCCGATGAAATGTCTATTATTATTGGAGGTGGAGGTGGATTAGGATTAGAAATCTCCATAAGTGAATTATCTCCCTCTTGTTGTTCTCCATTTTCTCCCTGACTACCCCCTGACGAAGAAGAAGAAGAATTTCCTGGTTATTGATTAGTAGGAGGATTGTTCCCTACTAGATTATCGTAGTAGTAGTCAGGGTAGGGGAGATTTAAGTGCTGACAATGAGCTTTTTCCACTCTTACGAGATATTTAGTCAAGAAAACATAATCTGGATACCACTGGCCATAATAGTCTTTGTATTTATGGTAATTTGGGATGTCTCCTAGAAGATAAAAATCAGAAAATCTCTGTTTGACAGCAATGTAAGGAGGCTCCTCTGGAAGACAATGGACAATCATAGCCGAAATACGATTAGGGGTGTCATAAACTCTGTCTCGTAAGACATTGCTCATGTAGGAACAAAAGTATCTTATCTTTTCTACAAAGTCGTAGGGGTGTTCATTATGTTTCTTTACAAGTGATCCCATTTGTGTATATTTTCTAGGAAAGATTGGCATCCTGTAGAGAAAAGGCTTAGAAAGAATTCCCTTCCCAAAGAAAATAAAATAAATAATACAGTCTTGTAGGAAATTAAGTTTGGTGTTCAATCATACAATGTTGAAGGATCACATAAAATAATACACATATTGCATGTTTTCATCAACAAACATCTAGTCATACAACATGCTTGTACACTCAAAATAAAATTATGCACACAGGGAAAAAAAATTAAATTCTAGCATATATGCCCTTTCTTTTCATACCCGAGCTCACCAACATGTTAATAAAAGCTTTTAACACATAAATCTTACCTCAATCCTTGCTCCCTGCAAAACTTAACAAACAAAAAAATATTTTTACCCTGCTAAAATAAAATTTCGAAATTGATGGGAAGAGGGCCAAAATTTTCGGCCCTAGTAAAAAAAATTTCGGACACTCTAAAAAAAATTCGAGTGTCCCTTTAAAAAAAATATCGGACCAAAAATAAAATAAAATAAATAAATAAAATTTCGACCCCTTTGGAAAAAATAAAAGAAATAAAATCGGAACAAATAACATGTATAATTAAATTAACACTTGGCCAAGTTTAAATCATAGTAAGAAAAACATTTTCGGGTTAGTGGTAATTTAAAATTTCAACCAAAGCTCCCAGATACCACTTTGTAACACCCTAGAAATTCCTTTCCTTTAAATACCCACTTTACTTTTTAAAATACTATTTAGGAATATCTAAGACATTACCGCCACCGTGAAAACAGCTAAGGAAACTATCAAAGATACACAGCGAAGACTTAAAATTAAAAACCGTTTAAACAATTCAACTCAAAAGTCCACCAAAGGAAAGTAAAGTTTAAAACCAAAACAAACAAAGTCAAATAAAATCAAACTAGCTACAACTTGGAACCATTAAAGGCCCTTATTCAAAACCGTACCAAACCCAAACCTTTGCGTTAGTCCACACAAAATACGTCATAAATAAATAAAGCATAAAACACTTCGTAAACTAATGAAAACTAGCATGATTCACTCTTCACTCATGCCCCGTCATGAATATGCTTCAATACCTGAAAGGTTTATCTCTACTTGTCCCCACTACTCTCCATTAAAAATGGGTCATCATAGGGCCAAGATAAAGACATGGCCAAACACAACAACACACACAATCAGCAAAGCAGCAAAGCTGAGTACATAAGCGTAATTAAACACACTAACATGCTTTCACCTATCAACACACACTTACCTCAATGCACCTATTTACAAGCACACGCAAAAATTAACAAGACACTTTAACTAGACACTAAATAATTCATTTAGTGTTGATTACGCATCGAACGGGTTTCCAGCTATACCTCCCCCAAATAAATTGAGGTTAACTGACACGGGAGCTAACCGTGCCAGCGACAAAACCACTCAAAGGTGGCGGAATTCCTGCGCATAATTATAAATAAAAAGGAATGTACAGCGTCCTGTACTCCATTAGAAGTTATGGTTAAATATAAAACCCCATAACTCCCCCATTGTTCATACTCAAGGTATATACGTTCCAAGAGTGTTGGTGCGTAATCTCTTTCACTTTACGTTATTTACATGTTATTGGACTTGGTGATGACTCTCAAGCATAATAAATCAATCAACAATAAACATTCAATCAACCAAACATACCAATTTAATTCTTGAATAATTAGTGATCACATATTACTTAATGTTGAACCCTTTTTAATTCTACCTCAGTGTCAAAGACAATTTAAACGCATAAAGCGCCAAAAATCCTATCCCTCGGTGTTAAAAACACCTTAAGTGCACAAAGGCACCAACATACAATTTATCCCTTGTGTACATAGACACTTATATAGCTCCTTCCTCATGTTTAAAGCATCCATAAAAATTATTTGAACCATAATAAAATTCCTTTTCAATATTCCAAACATAATTAACACATGTAGTTTAATTAATCATGCATTCTAACATACCATAAATAAAAGTGTTGTTCAAACACAACATGCCCAAAATATAATTTTCCAATCCATAAACCATCACAAATAATTCATGCTTCACAATTCAATCACCAACACCATTAATTCACAATTCCATACATAAACCTTAGCATGATACTACTTGTAATTGATTGAAATCAAGCCTACCATGATACTACTTGTAATTGATTGAAATCAAGCCTATCATGATTCTACATCATCAAAATATGCTAAGTACGCGTACGTACCTTGAGTACGATTTTAAAATTGCCACGACTAGTAGAAATTGCTTACTTCAAAGTCTCCTACACATTAAAATCATAATAGAGTATTAAATTCCACTCTAAAAAAATTTCCAGCAATATATACTATTTTAAAACCCCTCATAATTTAATTAAAGTAAGCTGAAATTATATTTAAAACACCATAATTAAGTCCCAATTAATGGTAATTAATATTCCTTCAAGAAAGATAATATTAAGTGTTGTACATAAAATTCCAGGACTTTATTTTAATTAAACTTGCTGTAATTAAGCCTTAAAACACTTAAAATAAAGATCTACCCCAATATACATCATAATCCTTCAATAATTCATAAATCAAGAACCTAGGGTTTCAAAAATTGGGGCTTTTTAATTAAAAACCAAATATGAAAATTAATCAACATAATTATAATAATCAAACACCAAAATTAAATCCCAAAACTCATAATTTACAATTAGATTAAAGCATAGATTAAATTTGAGAAAGAAATATTTGATTTTTAAGTTTTTTTTTTTCGAAACCCACGACTGCCGACAGCAGGCCGGCGCCACTGCCGGTTGCTGCCAACACTGGTGGTCGCCGCTGCTGCCGGCTGGGTGGCTGGTGGTCGGCGGCCCACCGGTGGTGGTGGTTTCCGGTGGTGGTGCGAAAACAAAAGGGGAAGGGGAAGGAGAAAGAAAAGAAAAAGAAAGAAAAAAATAAGAAGAAAAGGGAAAGAAATTTACCTTGGGTTTTCTTCACTCTGGGCAAAGTTGATTTTCCTCATAAGAGGGATATTTATACCCCTTCTCTATCACCCTTTTACCCTAAACTTTCCTCCTTTAGTTTTTTTCTAATCCCTTCCCTACTAAAACTTGTTAAAATCATAATTTCCTAAAATAAAACCCCAACTTTTATAAAATAAATAATTAAACAAACTTTCCTTTAGTAAAAATATTTCCAAACTTACATAGGATAAATAATTAAAACACCATAATTAAAATATTTAAATTATTTAAATGCCTTTATAAAATACATATTTTAAATAAAATACGTATAAAAATACTGGGTATTACATGGAGGGTCTATTTGGGTATTAAATACCCCAAATCTGTACGGGTCCAAAAACTTTAGAAACTTGCAAGTATTCTAAAGGTGCGTAAAGAAAGTGAGGCCTTAAAATGATTTGAAAAAAATTGTAAATATTTCTTTGTTACCAGCTAAAATAAGATATGAAAATATTATTAAATAAATAAAAAGAGCTACTTTGACAAAAAAAAGCTTTTAGAAAAAATTTGATTCAAAAATTATGTGTGACTATAGAACAGGATTATCAATCTCCAATTCTCCACCAACCCAAATGTAGTACCAACTAGATTAAACCTGTGCGATGCACGTATTTTAAAAACTATTGAAATGAAATACTACCTCCGTTTCTTATTATGTGCAACAAAAGAATATTTTATATCTCACAAATAATACCCCTTTGTTGCACATTATAAGAAAACGGAGGTACTAGATTATTTCTATTATTTATTTTCTCGTATATACTTTATAAGTTAAATCATAAAAGATATAAAACTATCATCATAAATTACATTAGTAACAAAATATAAAAATGAAAGCCAATTTCTAGTTATCAAACATTTATTCCAATCAAAAATAAAATTTTTATCCAATTCCTCAAAATATATATATATATATATATATATATATATATATATATATATATATATATATATATATATATATATATATAGAAAGGCTCTTATGAGAATTTAGGCCTTATGTGAGAAATTCACTTATATGAGAATACATCTTAGCCGTAGATTAGATTCAATCTAACCGTCCAAAATATTCTACAGTAATGGCAAAATTGTAATTTCGTTTGCTGATATACCCCCTTCTCTTTTTTCACTTTCACTGATTTTTTTCTCTCTCTAAAATTAGGTTTTTCTCTCTCTAACTTCCATTCACTCTCTACAAACCCTAGTTCATGTTAATTCGTGAATCAAAAAATGGATTCGAATCAAATACTACCAACATCTCCTGTTATTACTTATGAAAGATGGTAGAAAGTTTATGTTTACGAATTTTGATTATATTTTTTAAAATTTTTCTTCTCTTTTTTTGTTAATTTTCGTTTACTTTTTTATAGATCAATCGATTCACAATGTATGGATAAATCTCCAATACAAGCCATTTGTCCATCAAATCAGTAAGTAGCGATTTTATTATTGTTTAATTATTTGATTTGTTTAATTTTTAAATTATCATGTTTGAACACGAAAATTTGGGCTCAGATTTGCTCGAATTTCCTGAGCATATACATTGTTAGTTAAATTCCATGGGTTTTGGTGTCAAATTTTTTAGGTTTTGGGGTCGTTTTTAGAAATCATCGAAGAATGCTTATAAACTGTTCGATAAAATGCCAAGCTGAAATTTAACTGCATGTTGTGTTTATTGATTATGGAAGTCAATATTGTATATAGGCAGCAATTTTTTGGTTATTGCAGTAGATCCCCTCAAAAAAAAAAAGAAAAAAAAAAAAGTAAAAAATTTTAGTGCATGAGATAAGCCGAAGAACAAGAGGCAGCATCAACCTCGGCAGGGCAGCAAGATTAGCAAGTGTACCTTGTTTTTGATATCTGTTTTAAGCTTAATCTTCTAACCTACTCTTCTTGTTTTACTTTTCAAATAGTGATGGTGATGAAGCACTTGTCAAAAAGAAAAAAGGTGATGGTGATGAAGCTGTAAAAAGTGATGTTCAATGGTCTAAAAGTCCAATTGTGGAGTCATCCTTACTAGAAGCTATAAACAATGATCACATTCATAGGTTGGTAATCATCAATGGATACTGATTAATTTTTTATGCATGTTAGATACGTTTTAAAATTTTACTCATATGTTCTAAAACTTTGCTTGTATGTTCTAAATTTAATTCTAATTTTAAATTTTATTTTACTCACTTTTTAGAACAAATAAACTTACTGTGTTGTATTAGGTTGACTAGCAGCTCTCACCAATTGCTGAAACATCTTTCTTTCATTGATGGGGTCCATTCCTGCCTTCTTTTGTATCTGAGTGTCATTTCGTTAAAGGTTTGTGGGTGTATGTTATGTATGATGAGCTAGCTATGATTGATCATATAGTGAATAAGGCTCCTTTAGTGGAGTTTTGGAGAGAAAGGGTGCTGATTGATCAATAGGTGTTTCAACATTTTGTTTTAAAATGTTGGCGGCTAGGTGTTTTATTGTTCCTGTGCTTGTTTCATGAATTTCCTGCACTATAAATTATGTTCTGCTATCTGCATTGGAAGAGGAGGGGGGGTGGGGGGGTACCGGAATACAGTAGTGTTCTACATTTTGTTTTAAAATGTTGGCGGCTAGGTGTTTTATTGAGTAACAATAGCTACCAAATCTGATTCAAATTTTGAATGAGCAAAATCGTTGTCCATCTTTAATTTGCAACATGTAAGATTAGGATTTGGTTGCATGCTTTACTGACAGAAGGTTTGTGTGCACTATTAATTAGTACTGTATGATAATTGTCTTTCTCGCTTAGATCATTAAGAAATGCATCATTTTCCTGATACCAAAGCTTGATGCTCCTCCATTTTCTGTATATTGATAAGAACGTCACAATCACCCTAGAGATTCTATGTTTCAATGGGGTTTGTAGCTACTAAGCTGCTTCATGTCTCTTTCTACCCTGACTAATGTCATACAAGTATACAACACCTTTACCCATATACTTATACAACTTTTCGAGTAATAGGCTCCTGCATCAGTGTAAAGATGTATATAGCCTTTTATTCTATGGGAAATGCATATATCCTTACACATGCAAATAATGATTGCTTGCAAAGAGGATATTTTGCATCTCTCACCTAAATTACAGGGGATTGTCAGCTATGCCTTGATCTGAAAGGTAATAAGCTCGACTTTTTTGTAAGGGAAGTATGATAATGGGTTGTCATGAATGTGATTTTACTTTTATTTACTTGAATTAGAATTATTTGGCATGTAGAATATTAATTTTGTGTATTTTCTTGATCACTGGCTTAGTGGCTTGACTTTGTATAATGAGACACATCGTATTAGGAATTTTTAAAATTTTAACTAATGAAGTAAAGGCAAAGTTGTTTATAGTTGTATGATTGTGTAATAAACTAACCTAAGGAGGGGCACTATGGGTAATATTGTATTATAAGGTTAATAATCTTTAGTATTGTTATAAATACAAAAATAAGGTAAAGGAAGAGGTAGACAAATTTTTGGAGCGAATCCTTCTGAGAGTTGTGACTTCAAGTCACTATTTTGAGAGTGGTGACGTAAAGTCACTTATATAGGTTGGCAGCCTAAAGTTGCTAGCTTGTACAAACCCCCGTTTTCAATATTAAGTAGTTTATGAAGAATTTCTCTATTCTCTAATTATGAAGTACAGCAGCTTGGCAGACAACATTAGCTTCTATGTACTGCTTGCTTTCGTTCTATATTTTTGTACATATGTTCTACATTATTACACATATGTTCTGTTCTAATTATTTTTCCCTTGTGTTCTAACCTTTATATATTTTATATGTCTATGACTTGCATTGATAATTTTGATAATCTTGTTGGTGATGATGCTGCTACAACCTCTAATCAGTTTGCTACAACATCTTCTGGAAATGCAAATAAGAGTACCAAAGTAGTTAATAAAGAAGGTGATCCAATTGAGGGGAAACTTAAAGTTAGAGCTAAAGATGTTATGAAAAACAAAGCAATGAAGAAAGAACCAAAGAAGGAAGACAAGGGGGAAAAAGGAAAAGAAAGGTTGATGAGAGTGATTCTAATGATGATATTGAAGTTGTTCATGTAGATCAAATGGAATGTAGAGCATTAAATCAACGAATTACTCCCAAGAATTTTATGAACACCGTGCTTAAAGATTTGCCAAAATCTCATAAGGCGGCTATAAGAAACATTGGATTTGGAGGTTTCTTAGATTTGGATTTAGATGCACATAAATCTGTGTTTTGCTCTAAGCTTGTGTCGAGTTTTGACTGTGATAGGGTGTCTTTAGTTCTTGAGAGGAACCAAGATATTGAAATTACACCCGTAGACATACATTTGGTTTATGGATTGCCGATGGGAGGAGAAATTATTAAAGAGCCTCGACAGGAGGAGGATGAAGAATGGGTTGAGTTTATTAGACAATGGAGATCTTTTTTTGGGATAAGTGGTGGAATTCCATCAAATTCTGTGATTATTAATCGGATTGAAGAGTTAAAGAAGGAACCTGTTTGTGATGAATTCATTTGGCATATTATAGTTTCTGTTGTCAATTGTTGTATGAGATCCACTGCCAACCCATCGGTAAATTACAAGTTCTTGTATAGTTGCATGGATACAAAGAAGATCGAATGTTTGGAATGGTGTGAATATGTGTATAGGAGTTTAAAGTCGTCTGTATCCGAATGTCAAGGTGGTTCAGCTTACTTAGCTTCACTGGTCCATTGCCTTTCTTGATGGTAATTTCTTTTTTTTTTAATATATTGCACATTTTTATATTATTTTGTCTTTTTCTAAATTTGTCTTTGTTTAACGCTTTTTCAAAAATTCGGAACATTGGCTAAGAAGATTGCTCAGAATTTAAGTGAGATGCATGTCATGTTGGATAAGGCAAATGAAATATTTGCTAAAGAAGAAGCATCCGATATGAACACATTAATTCAAAATATTTGGAATAAGTATTCCATGAGAAAGGAAGAAAAACAAAAGGAAAGCCCCTTCATTCTAAGTCAAGACAAGCATTTGTTTGAAGAACCATCTTTCATCAAGGAGTTAGATGATGTTATGAAAAGATCATGGGAAAAGTTCAAAGGGAAGAAAAAGACACCTTTTCAGATGACTCCTCTTAGTTTTGATTTGTTTTCTCATTCTCAGACACCCACTCCTTCCCCCCCCCCCCCCCTCCTCCTCCTCCTCCTCCTCCTTCCCCTCCTCCTCAAACTTACGGGCCTTTTCCTCCTCCTCAAATTCAAGGGCCTTCTCCTCCTCCTCAATTTCAAGGGCATTCCACTTCAACTTTAGCAGGAGCACGCTCAGGTGCTAAAGACCAACCATATGTTCATGGAGAGAAGAACAATATTCAAGCAAAAGAAGAAAAGAACAAGAACAGTGATGAGAAAGAAGATGATAAGATGGAGGGGTAATGTAGTTATGTTTAGGGACACTATTAATTATTGATGAATTAATATTTTATTTTTCAAGAACACTAATTATTAGTTTTTTTTTTTTTTTTTGGGACACTAATTATATATATACATTTATAATTTTAGAACTTGTGGTATATTTTTTTTTTTGAAATGTTTTTCTAATTAAATATTTGTATTCACCTATATATATTTACAGGAAAGAAAATGTAGGAAAAAGGGAGAAAAGATGTCCCGAAAATCTTCCAAACTGTATTCGTTCACCTTTTATGGTTCAGTATGACAACATATTCAATAAGGTTGATGGACACAAGAAGAGAATGGCAGAGTATGCATTTGCCAATGGATTACCTAAGTAAGCTCTAAATTTATTTAGTAATTTTACAATAATTAGTCGTGTTCTGATTTATTACTCATGTTCTAAATTAGTATTCATATGTTCTAAATTAGTATTCATATGTTCTAACTTAGTATTTATATGTTCTGAATTAGTATTCATATGTTCTAAATTGGTATTCATATGTTCTAAATTAGTATTCATATGTTCTAGATTGGTATTCATATGTTCTAAATTAGTATTCATATGTTCTAAATTGGTATTCATATGTTCTAACTTAGTATAACATTTAATGCTATTTTTTTATGTTTGTAGTGAGATTTTATATGATGATGGTCAAACAATAATCCGTAGAGATGAGATGTCAAGCCTTGCAGCTAGCAATCATGTGCTTAATAACATTGTTGATGCTTGGTCATTCATATTGAATATTGAAAACAGAAGACGAACCCCAGGGTTAACAAACAGATTGTTTTTTTCAACGCAAGCTTATGTATGATTCTTAATATTGAACTTGGCTTCTTTCATGTTATAAATTAAGATTTCATAACTTATTTTTAAATGATTTCAGGAAATTTTGTGTACGGATTATCACTTTTCTCCAACTGTGAAAATTCAAGATAGATATCCTACTTTATATGAAAGGTTGGATAAAGAGATGAAGCACTCTAAAGTGCTAAACTTTGATAGAGTTCATTTGGTAAGACATTAAGAAATCCAAAAGAATTTAAATATAGATTTCCTTGTTTTTAAGCTTTCTTCTTTATTTCTTATTTCAATTTCATGATCTATTATTATATGCAGGTATTTTTTCCAGTTGTATCTTCATCACATTATTAGCTGCTTTAATTTGTGTGAATTTTCTGAGCAAGACTCTCGACGTGATTGACAACAGATATCTGGAATATAAAAATTCTTTTTGGCACAAATACAAAAACAAACCGAAGAATTTGGTAATATCTATCTGTCTCATTAACTTGTGCTTAAAATCAGATGTTCTAAACATTTATTTCAATGTTCTAAATTTTAACTCACATGTACTAAAATTATACTCATATGTTTTAAATCATATGTTTTTAAAAAATTATACTCATATGTACTAAAATTATACTCATATGTTCTAAATCATATGGTTTTACAAAAATTTCATGTTCCAAATAGTACTTATACATTCTTAATATTTTCTAATACTTATTTTAATGTTTAATTTTTAGTTGAGGGCTTTTGCCATGTTCTTGTCAACCTAGAGGTCAAAATGCGATCAAGAGGTTTCTAGTTTCAAAACTAGGACATAAAAAATGAGTTGGAGGACCAATGATAACAATGATGATTGCGGCGTGTTTTTGCTTAAACACATGGAAACATATCATGGTGAGAAAGATACCATGTGGGATAGCGGATTTTTTTATTTTTTTTTTAGGATAGCGGAATAAAATTGAATGATGTAAGTTTGTTTTATAGTATTACTCATGTTCATATGTTCTAAATTTTTATACATATGTTCTAAATTTTTATACATATGTTCTAAATTTTTATTCATATGTTCTAAATTTTTATACATATGTTCTAAATTGTGTAAATCTTTTTTTTTATATAATAATGTAAAAAGTGAGATAGCGGATACCAAAGTCTAATGATTTAATTTTATTATAATGCAGATCAATCAAATGAAGAAATTGAGGGTGGATTTTTGTGCTAAAATATTATCACACAAGGAAAATGAGCTACATCATGAGATTACTTCAAGATCACGGAAATGGGCAAAAGAAAATATTTTGTAATATAATTTTAGAAATAGCATGTAGAATTTTGTATAGTACAATTATACTTTAAATAGTAAGCCTTCACTCGAAATTTTTGTCTTGTCTTTCTTGTGATCTACTTCATTGTTATGCAAGAATATAAGAATACAATTTATTATATATTAATACTCATATGTTCTAAATTTTTAGTCATATGCCCTAAATACTAATTATAATTTATATAATCTAAATTTTTAGTTATATGTTCTAAAGTTTTAGTCATATGTTCTAAATTTTTAGTCATATGTTCTAAATACTAATTATTTTTATTTTTTTTTGGAAAATAAGAGAAAAATTTATTACCAAAAGGAAAATTTACAACTTACAAAAGCTAAATTTTTAGTCATATGTTCTAAATACTAATGTCAAAATATTACTCATGTATTTAAGAACTAAGAATTTAAGTGATAAATTTTAATCATAATGATCTAAATTAAAATTTTGAAATCTTATCGGAACCATGCAACACACATGATTACTAATTATAACTCATATATTCTAAATTTTTATTCATATGTTCTAAATTTTAATACATATGTTCTAAATTAAACTCACAAGTTCCAAACTGCAATCATTTCTATTATACAAAAAAGTGTTATTCAATACACAAATTCAAAAAAATGTTCCAAAATTATTAAGTATCATCTAACTTTCTTTGGACAATTTCGAATATCGTGGTGGCTCAATTCCCTACAACCTTTGCATAACCTCTTTTTTTCTGATTTTGTTCTACTTCCTTTTCTTTGTCTCCCTTTAGTCTTTTTCCACTTCCAAATCTTGTTTCAACATTTGAAGTCTCTACAGATCTTGTTTCAACATTTGAAGTCTCTACAGATCTCGTTTCAGTATTTGACAAATGAACTCCTGTGCCTTTGTTCTTCGAAATTTTTGGAGGTTTGATAGATATTTCAGTTGGAACACTAGCTCCAATTAATAGTTCTATGTCTTTTTCTTTGTTAGTTGCATTCCTTTCACCATTACTTCTTGCATTCCTCTTAGCTTCCAAATCCAGCCTCAATCCTCGAAAATTAATCACAAGGTCTTTTATATCATCATCGTCACCCTCTGCCAAACTAACACAATTATGTATCTCTGACCACAACTTATTCAACAACTTTTTCTTGTCTATATTAGCACATTGTTCCAACAGATTTCCTCCCAGGTCAAATATTGGTCTTTTCGTTGCCATAGTAGTCCATCTGTTTAGAATATACTGCTTAGGAATGATTTCAAACCGTTTTGCTTTCCAAACCCAAACCATGTGCCTACATGGAATGCCTTACCTATTAAACAACTTGCAAGAACATGTTGTCTCTTGGTTAGTCGGATTAAACACAACATCAAATGTTCTACTCCGACCCCCTTCACTTACTTTTGCAATTTCTAATCCATTTTCTCTCTTAAACTCTTCACACCCACAAGAAAAACAAGCCATTTCTACCTCATATTGGAAATCATAAAAAACAGAAATAGTGTATATGGTTGAGGCATACTTTTCTATCCCTAGTGGTGTCTTGCACTCTGGGTATTTGTGCTTTGAATCATTGTCATTTTGACCTTGAGTGTGTCTTTGGGCATTAATTGCAGCTTCATATCTCATGTAAAACTCAACAAGTGACACGTGAGGATTGATAAAGGAGCAAAAAAAGTTATTTTCACTTTCTGATCTTGATGTGGTACGCATTATTCCTCCCAGGAACACATCTCTGAAATATGTCGGAATCCACTTATCCCTTATCTCGTACATATAACACAACCACTCATTTCCTTCCAATTCAAACTCAACCATCACCTTATTCCACCTTTCTTCAAACTCATCTGGCTCAATTTCAAGATGCCAAACACAGGCACATATTTTTTTCAGGAATCCTGTTTCCTCCTTTGTGATTGCTCGCCCTACTTTATCGGGCAACTTTTTCATTATATGCCACATACAGAACCGATGTTCAGATTTTTGAAACACTCTACTAATAGCAACTTTCATAGCTGGATCTTGATCTTGATCTGTGATCAAACAATTAGGTTCATTATTGCCCATTGCCTTTAGAAATGTTTTGAAAAGCCACTCAAATGATTCAATATCTTTCTTTGCTATGAAACCAGCCGCAAAAGTGATACAACTCTTGTGATGATCAACCTCTGTAAATGGAGTAAATACCATGTTGTACCTGTTTAGAACATAAAGATCAAATTTCATTACATACAAAATATAGCACTACCATTTTAGAACATGTGAATAAAACTTTAGAACGTATGAGTACAAATTTAGAACACGTGATTAAATATTTAGAACACATGATTAAATCACAATAAAAGACATTATTTAGAGCATAGATTTAAGACTAAAGTTTATAACACATAAAGGGTATATTATTTAGAGCATAAAGGTTATGAGTTTATAACACATAATTTGGAACATTAGACTTAAACTTTATAACATAAAAAGCAAATTTTAGAACATGTGAATAAAAATGTAGAACATATGATAAAAATTTTAGAACACATGATTTGAACAGAAGACTAATTATTTACAGCTTAATTTCAAGACTAAAGTTTACTTAATTGTAATCGGAACATAAGAATCACTATTTAGAACATTTGATTGAAGAGTTGTTAAATCTTATGAGAATATAGAACATAATTTGGAACATTAGATCTCAAATTTAGAACATTAGAAGCAATTTTTAGAACATTCAAAACAAAATTCAGAACATAAGACATGAGTTATATGAATCACCTGTTAGTTTGGAAAGTGGTGTCAAATGATATCATATCACCGAATAGAGCATAATTTTTTTTACAAATAGGGTCCGCCCAAAGAGCTCTAGAGAGAGAAGAATCCTCATCAACTTCAAAATCAAAGAAAAAAGCACTCCACATCAACTTTTCTTTGTGAAATTATCTACAAACATTTGAGCATCGGACCCTTGAATGAATGCTTTTAAATCTATGTGAAAAATTTTAAAATCTTGCTTGGAAGCTCCAACATTATCATAACCTCCAAGTATTTCCTTCATCATTCGAAAAGTTTTTACAAGGCCAATATTCACCTATTGTAGGCACAAAAAAGTTTTAGAACATATAAAGAAACTTTTGGAACATGTGAATAATATTTTAGAACATATGAGTAAAAGTTTAGAATGCCAGTGTAAAAATTTATGATAGAGTTACCTTAGAATTATCAACAATCATTTTTTTATGAAAAATGTTCATCTTTCTTCCTTCTTTTTGAAATAGATTACAACTTGGTGTGTAAAGGGGATGAGTACGTCCTTCGTGGAACTGTGTCACTATATACTTTTCATCTTCACAATGTTTTAGAACCATAAGAGCTCTGCACCCAACACGAGTGACTTATCTTTTTCTTGTTATTGAAATCTTGTCTTCCTTGCTTTTTTCTTCTTTATCATTTAGAATACTCTCAACAATAGGCTTTTTCTTCTCCTTGAAACCCTGTTTGTTGCATAAGACATATTAGAATGCCAATTTTTTCTCTGAATGCCTTTTACTGGTAGACTTCCTAGTGTTAAAACCAGCAGCAAGTGCATATGATTTATAAAATTCAACACCCTCATCAACACTTATAAATTTCATTCCTATTGCAGGTTTTAACTCATTGCGGCACATAGGAAACCATTATTTTGTTCCTCTGGGAGTTAATATAGGTACTATTGTAGGAGTAGTTGGCACACTTGCATTGGCATTAGAAACATTATCATGTTGTTCGTTGTTGTTAATTATTTCTGCACAAAAGTAATTTTAACAAGTTAATAAAATTTTAGAACATATGATATAATATTTAGAACACATGATTAAATCAAAACAGAAGACATTATTTAGAGCATAGATTTAAGGCTGAAGTTTACTTAATTATTTACAGCATAATTTGGAACATTAGACTAAAACTTTATAACATAAAAAGCAAATTTTAGAACATGTGAATAAAAAGTCATAACATTTTATTGAAATTTTAGAACACATGATTAAATATGTAGAACACAGGATTTTAGACATCCCATTAGAAAAATCAGAACATGTTCCAAAATTGTACTCATTTGTTCTAAATTATTTATCAAATGACCCAAATTATTTATCAAATTTTATTCTTCTACATTCTCATTTATTACTTTCCCTTGCTTTCACACCAGCATGTTCTAATTTTATACATACATGTTCTAAAATTTTCAACCATGTTCTACGATTTTGGAACATGTTATACATAAAAACATCCTAGTTAAAAAAAAAAAAAAAAAAAAAAACCTGCTTCATTATTTGCTTGTTCATCCATAATTTTCAACCTAATATAACGAACCTGCAAAAATTCAGATAAATTTCAAATAAAACACTGATAATATACACAAATTCAATCCAAGCAATTAAGATCAATAAATTTAGCACTCCACATCAAACAAAAAAAAAACTCCACATCAAAGAAAGATGTACTCCACATAATCATACATAAAGCAAACAAATGCTTGATAAAAATCGAACATAATCAAACATAAAACAAACATAATAAAAAATCGAACATAATCAAACAAAATCACAGCAAAAAATTGAAGCAAAAAATCGCATAAAATTGAAAAACCGCATAAAAATCGAAGCAAAAAATCACTTCAAAAATTGACAAAAAGCGCATAAAAATCGCTTAAGAATATAAAGAATTTAATCATAAGAATTTAATCTTAAGAATTGAATCATAAGAATAGAATTACTTACCAAGAACAAGAGGAGAGAGAAAGTCAAGCTTATGGAGAGAGAGAGAAGATGGTAACTTGATCAAGGTTGAATGCGTGGGTTTTAGGTTTTTGAGTGGTTTTATTTGATCAAAAATTACATTTTTGCCATTACTTTTGGAGTGATTTCAGCTGTTGGTTCTTGTTCTATTTAATGGTTGTGATGTATTATCATATATGATAGATTTCTCATATAAAGAGCTATTCTCATGGGATCCCTCCCCTATATATATATATATATATATATATATATATATATATATATATATGATATCATAAGTGCATTTGGCGGGAAAATTTTTCATGAGAAAGTGACATTTGAGAGAGAGGATGTCAGTAGATTTATGTTTTAGTAATAGTTAATAGATGTACCATTTGTTTACAATGTAGGGTCCGTCAACAAGAATCTACATGCTAAGGGAGCGACGGCAGGAATCTTACGCCCTTAACTATGGCTCATGGATTTTTACACCCTGTACGATACACCCGTTATATACAAACATAAACTTGCAAGCATCTTCACTAATATAAAGCATCACCCCGTTACATATGGATTACAATACCCATCTTACAGAAGGGGGAGTAGACACAAGTCAAAGACTAAAAATCATTACCTGAAAACACCAATCTAACAACAATTACGCTAAATAACTCACAGTAGGTCAGGCAAAACCGCAAAACTTTACTCTTCATCCATGTCAGGATACAATGCAAGGAACCAAAACCTTAACAAGCTAACATGTTCACGAATTTTAACGTCTTAACATAATATATGCATGCAGTTACGAATTTATTGGTCTTGCAATTGCAGGAAGTAATAAATAAGCTTTCATCATAGAAAATTTTCACTTCAAGCAAATCTACAATCAGGGCAAGTTCCATACAGATCTAACTCTTCTCAATTTTGCAGGCGACACAAAGTAGAAACAATTTATTTACATTGTATAACCTGCGTGAAAATTGTACAATGATGTTGATAACAATCAACCTTTCTATAAATAAATTACATCAGCTTCTCATTTTAACATCGCATGAGTAAGCATATGACATTCAGCAAGCAGCTGGAAGACGTTTGAACAAACACCTGCAAACGGCGACCAAGTTGGCCTAACATCAACAACTAGCAACACATTGGAGCAAAAAAAAATTCAAATAAATAGAAATGAATTGATATGCAACAATTTTACTTCATCAGTGTCATGATTCATTCAAAAATCATAATGCAGGATCTAAGTCTATGTATGTGGTATATAGTGATAGTTGATGAGCAATCTTTTTAATTACAAAATTGATTGCTAGAGATCATGCGCACCTGACATTAATTGTTATATTAATATTTCTTTATGCTACAAATTGAAATTATGCACTACTCTTACTAGTGTGTGCATGAGTGAGTATAGGAGTGGAAGAGGCACCAAGGGCTTTGTATAGAAGCACGACAGCACATAAAGTATAGTAACTCATGTAATCATATGCAAAGCTAGAGTGTCACTGACATGCTACATTTCATGCACTTCTAAACATACATTTTTCTGCCCATACATTTTTCTACCTGGGATTGAGAAATTTAGATGATGGAGCATTTAATCTGCGTACATGAACTGGCAATTATTAAAATTGATACTACCTCCAGCTGAAATTATAGGTCAATTATTTTCCTTTAATGTGCGAAAAATATGACTGCTAGATGACCTCCTCCCCCTTACTTAACGATTAGGTATTTCCTTAAATCCAAATAAAAACAATCACCAAACAACCGAAGCTGACAGCAAGGAATTACAAAGCAAAACAAGAAACACAGAGATCTGATGTTTCTTTATCATCCGATCCTTCTAGGTTGCCATTATTGTTTACAAATACAGCTTCAGCCAAAGATAATTACGTTAAACACTGGCCTCGTTAACCTCTTTATAATTTCCATTGCTCAGCTATGTTTTTGTCTATTTTCTGGAATGCAACCAATGTGACCACAACCCCCCACAATCAGTACAAGTATCATAGGAATATTTGCCAGAAAAAACCTTTTAAAAGCACCCCAAAAAAAAACAAAAAAAAAAAAAAAATCCTTTTAAAACTGTTTTAGCAAACAAAAAACCATCAAATTGCATTTTGTGTCAATAGATACCTTTGTGTACTATTTTAGCATACACTATCATTTTCAAGCATTGACTTCTTTTTCGTATGTGCACCAAAAGAACTTGTTATTTGCACCCAATGTTCTAAAATCGCGATTCGGATAGTACAACCATAAAATCTCAATCCCCCTAAACGATGTAAATTGACGATAAAATCGCAATGTTATAGAATCGCTCATAAAATTGGTTGAATTAAGGCCTGTTCACATTTACTAAACTGAGCTAAAATTATTGGAGCTAAGCTCAACTGAATAGAGCTGGAATGGATATTTTATGAGAGAAGGAAATTAGGAACTGAACTGATTGGAACTGAAATTAAGCTGAAAGAATAGGCTCTTACTTAGAATCGGTGGAATCGGTACCGATTCTAATGATTTCACTCCAACAAAAAGTCTAATTTTTCAAAAGCCATAACTTTTGATTGCGAAGTTGGAATTGGGATTATAACATATTGTTGGAAAACTCTTGAGGTCTACTTTCTAACAAACTTGGTCCCGTACCCATATCATTTACTACCTTCGTTTCATTTTTTTTTTTTTTTTTGTAACTTTTGCAAAAAATGGATGTTACACATTATTTGCAACTAATGTTTTCTTTGCTTTTTAGGTTGTTATTTCTCTCTATCTCTCTATTCATCACATGCATTCTTATATTTTTCTCTCTATCTTATACTCACAAACAAATATTGCCTAAGAGTCCGCACATCTTCAAAGTTGCAAAAAATGTAAAACAAAGGTAGTACATTTGTTATGTTATAGCCTAAAGAGTGTAAGGGTGTCATAGTTGAGCCTAACTTTAGTCAATGAGTTATATATTATTCAATATAAATCATAATAAAGCTTATGAAACATCAATTTAAATAACTTTCACTATTGTATCCCACCATTTAATTTTTTTGGGCATAAGAATGTATTCATGAGTCTTATGCACTTAATTTTGGACATATAAACACTTTTATAACATGAATTTGTTATAGTTGTCATTTTTTAGCTATCTCGTTAAAATTAACTAACTTCACACTTAGTTTTTTATTATCATTGGATTTTTTATTTGCTGAGGGGATCAATTTTACGAGTCAACAGCGTTATTTTTTTCATAATTTAACAACAATTGTCTTGTACTCTCGTGGTTAAGAATGTGTACTAATAATATGACGTTATAGTTTATTGTAACAGTTTGAGATTTGCGCGTGCGAAATTATTTCTTAAACTATTTTATACTTGTATTGTCGATATTATGTTATCAACAATATATATTACTATAATTATGTATGTCGTCATTAGTTACATTTTGAAGCTCAATTTTACAATTTTGTAGAATGTACGATTCTACGATTCAATTCTACCCAACTCATCGATTCAAAGTAGAATCCCCATTCTGATAACTATGTTTGCACCCACCCTCTTCTTTTTTCCCTCCTATCATTTTCAATCATCTTCTTCCAACAAACCACCTCTTGCGCTGGAGAAGGCAGCGCCATTATAAATTGAATATATCATAACATTTTTTAAAAAGAAAAATCTATATAATTTTATGACAAGGTCCAAGCTAGAACCTCACATTCAAGATTAAGCCTTCTTCTAAGCTTAAGGTACAACTATAAGATTGAGTAATAACTAGAAACTGACGAAGAAAATGAGCGAGATTTGAGACTTGAAAAAGAGCTAGCAAAATGATGATCATATTCATCAAGTTCAAGGCCTATAAATCAAGGAAGCTGATTTTTATTTAAATTTTCTTTTTGTGAAAGAGGCGCACCATCGCCAATCTACATGACGAAGAAAATATATCAAAGGTGAAGAGAATATGTGTAGCTTAATAGAAATGAAGGTTGTCTCACTATGTTTAATAAGTGAGTCTCTCATTTAATAAAGTTCCTTTAGCAAGTGGTTTAGACCTGATTTGCAAGATCCTATAAAAAAAAAAAAAAAGAAAAAAAGAGAACTTTATAGAATTGGGACCCAAGATAAAAACACAAGTCATTACAAGACATTTGGTGTGAATGATACACAAGTCATAGTTGAATGGCTTCTAAACAACCTCTAATTAACTTAGTACTTAAGTCACTTCATAACCATAAGTTTATTATTAGTCTTTCATCAATCGATATTTTGGCATCCAATCTTATTCTCTTAAACACTATTTCAAGGAAAAAAAAAAAAAAAACTGAAAACATGGAAAGATAAATGTCCCAAGTTTTCCTTTAACCTCTTGTATCATCGGTAAGGATGGAAATATCCAACGGATGATCCGACCACCCGATCCATCCGCTTTATTAAACGGGTGAAAAACCCGGTTTATATGGATGAGAGGCGGGTGACGAGCGAATCGGGTAATGAATCGGGTCGGATTTGGGTGGTTGTTAATCCCATCCGTCACCCATCCATCCATCCGTTTAGTATTATAAATATTCTTATTTTTTAAAAATAAATATAAATATCTTATACATATATAATATTTGCATATTAGAAGTTGTATGGTACGATTATATTTTATTTTTTATGTTAATATTTGACATATCACAATTATTTTACAATAATTATTTTAATATTAAAGGGTAAAATAGTTTTCTAAAATTAATTTTTATTTACCCACCCGGCCCATCCGTTTCACCCGCGGATGGTGGATGGATGGATTTCGGGTGATGTATTATGCGGGTGACAGATGGATCGAGTGAAACGAATGGATGCGGGTGGAGCTTCACCGATCCGAACCCGATCCATTTCCATCCCTAATCATCGGCCTTGTTAAGAGTTAATCCATAGGTAGTCAGATTTAAGAATAAAAGGAAAGTGAACAAAATGATATTATCTAGCCAAAGAGAGATTATTTCCCCTTCGTTTTGTGAGCGTGAAGCACTCTTATACTACCTCTGTTCTTGTATAGTCTTGATGTTAACTATTCTCACGGAAATTATGGCAGTTGGAAAGAGACTATTGATGAGGTGAGTGAAATAAGATAAAATAGATAAAGTAAAAAAAAGAGTTATAAGATGGTTTAATATAAGGAAAAAGGTGGAAAAAGTAAGAGAGAGTGGAAAAATACAAGCATTGTGGGGTAAGGGGGGCAGGGGAGTATATGGAATTTGCCAGATATAGATTAAAGTGAAGCTGTAAGGAACTTTGAGGAACAAACTAGTGAGGAAAAGATTAAAGTGAAGCTGTAAGGAACTTTGAGGAACAAACTAGTGAGGAAAGTGTTTAAAAACATTTAGGAACAGAGGTAATACATTTTTAGATAAAAACAGAAAGAGGAAATTTTCCCTCAAAATCATTATAGCTAAGAAAAATAAAATTTTGGGCACACTGTTTGAAATAAGGATTGATAATTATCTAGTTCCAAAATATACACAAATGATGATAAAAATAAATCAACAAAGATAAATAAATTTGGCATACCACAAGGCTTGAAACTGCATGTTTGCAAAAACTAGTTCACATTGCGGTTGAGCAGCCCTTGGAATGAGAGGTAAAGATCTTTGTTATCTGTACCTAGTATCTCTTCTGCTTTTCGTAAGGTTTCCTGATATGAATACGAACACAGGAGTATGTGATTTGTCTGCTTTAATCAGCAATATAAAGAAAATGGTTGTTCCTATCTCTATGCTTGGGTCAAAGAAATTTTACAAACACCAAGAAGCCCGAATTGCCTAAACATTTTCTGATTATCTTTCTTCCTTAATTCTTCTTTTACTGACTTCTATAGAATAAGAGAGAGAAAAAAATATCGAAGGCTCATAGCTCATAAACTTGTTTCCTTTCACTAAAAAGGGCTGACAAATGATCTTAACTAAATAAATAGTTACAGGTTACTAGAAGCTCACAATTACAGGACCGGATTTAGCTCAACAACAACAACAACAACAACAACAACAACAACAACAACAACAACAAAGCCTTAGTCCCAAAATGATTTGGGGTCGGCTAACATGAATCGTCATAAGGAATCCCTCAATATAAAGAAACGAACATGACAAAACCATCAATTAGAAGAGTTTTAAGAAAGGTGAGTAAAGTGAGTAAACGAAAGAGCTTAAGAAAAATTATGAGAGTTTTAAAGGTAAATCAAGAATAAAATGCAAAAACGGTTTAAGAGAGTTGTTAAAACGTCCAAGTTGAAAACAGAAGGTTTGAGAAAGCTTTAGCAAAGGAAAACAATACAGTTCATGAAACGTTAGTGGGCCAAAATAACATTAAAAACGAAAATAAACTTCAAAAGGATATATAAACAATTCAGGTCGGTGACGTAAATTTTCTCCCTCCATACCGTCCTATCCAACACCATATCCTCCTTAATCCCCAAGGCACTCATGTCACTCTAAATCACCCTCTTCCAAGTTTATGTTAAGTAAATGTACAACTAACATTTACTAATAAGGCTTACGACTCTACATATGTACTAAATTACTA